TGACTTTAAAAAACATAATGCCAATTAAGGAAATAGGATTTTTAGCATCCACATTCCAGACCATGTATTACATTTATTTCCAGACTTGCTTGTAAATAGGGTTGTGAGGGAGCAGACTACAACGGACAGTCAGGACTGCAGAAATGATCATCGGTGCCAACCTGCCCTCCATTCAGGACTTATACATTTCCAGAGTCAGGAAATGGGCAGGAAGCATCACTGCACATCCATCTCACCCCGGACAAAATCTGTTCCAGCTTCTCCCCTCTGGTAGGCGCTACAGAGCACTGTACACCAAAACCAAATGACTCAGGAACAGTTTCTTCCAACAAGCCATCATTCTGATGAACAGCTGATTCCTGACACTCACAGTGTCAGGAACAATTCCTGTGTAATAACCCAGTAACTCTGTCTCTAATCAGCCATCTGTTTACTGGTTACCACTTATAATCTATTTATTCACCATTCTCTATTTCAGGGCTGTTCATACTGTTATTCACACCGGCATTTTGTATATTGTAATACTGTATACCAAATTCACCCACCACATGTACATAACACCTGCACATAATACTTATTTATTCCAGCATCCTTTGCACTATGCTCCATCGCACTGTATACATGTATACATGTATGCATGTATGTGTACCTGCATATCACATCCACCTTCGACATGTACATAATAATAATAATGGTAATACAGTAGTAATTTACTCCTGCATCCTTTGTACCTTGCTCATTGCTCTATTGTCTCAATCTGTCTATATTGTTTTGGTTTATAGTGTGTATGTATGTGTTCTCCATACTGTAGGGTGTGTCTGATTTTATTATTGTATTATTGTATAAGTAAGCATATCATGAGCAAAGCAAACAATCCACTGTGAAATTCCTCGTATGTGTCCACATACCTGGCAAAAAAAGTTGATTCTGATTCTGATTCTGAAATTTCAGCATACACAAGGGTTAAAGGCAGGGAAACACATTAACCTGAGCTGCTGTCGTTGGTCTGTAGAAACACATGCGGACATACCTTTAAGGTAAACATTAAAATGTTCTTTTGCATAGGTAGAAGTGTTTTCTTTGGGCAAAATAAGAACTGGCGCTGATCACAGAAATACTATGACAGCAGCATACAACTCCCATCAAATATCTATTAATAATTAATTTCCTGAAATCTGACAGGCAGTTGAGCGAGTTGAGCAGATATAAATCAGAGCCTTTTCCCTCTTATTCAACCATAAAATGTATGGTCGGATCATCCAAATTTGTCACAGGAAATGAGCGTCTAAAAAAGAGACACAACAAAAGCTGTAGCTAATAATAGATTTGAAGGCGTGGGTGTAGCTAATCAAACAGCACATGTATTGTGCAGCTTCTATTCACCACAAAGTGGTTGGACTATCTAGCGTATTTATACTTAGCCTTTTCAGGGGTTCAGAGACGCAGGTTTCCTCTGTTTGTTCACTGTTTCTAAGTTTAATATGAGGGAGTTCAATGCAAGATCACAATGCTGAGTGGTAAATGATTCTTTTAGGAGGAAATGTACCCATGATTGGATGAAACTGAATCTGCCTTGTGGAAAAACACCAGAAAGAGGGGAGCTAATACACAAACAAAGTTAAAGAACATGTTTCTGTGATTATCGCCTGTATAGGGTATTTTAACGTAAGGCAGTGGTTCACAACCCCGTTCAGAAGCCAAAAAAGGCTCATGCCCACCATGCCAAGTAACAGTTGATTTCATTTTTATCAATCATCATAATTATACAGGCAATAGAAATAAATAAGATTCAGGTTTGCAAAATAGCCTTGCCAGCATCAGAGCCCTCTTGTTTGTTTATGTCACCACATGAATCATATTAATGGAAGTCCACGACCCCCCTTTAAACCGCCCGCAGTTTGAGAACTGCTGCCGTAAGGTCAGTTAGTAGGAACTATTGGGGCTGTGACCATACTGCTTAAATAATTAATATATAAGTCTTTGCAGTGAAGCTGTGTTTTCACAGTCTGGTTCCAGGTTCTCTGAATCTTCTTTTTTTCCAGTGAGTGTGATGTAATGCTAAATAATGAAGTGAAAACAGTCTGATTATCAGCCTAGTGTCTACAGCATGGTGTGATGTTGCAGAAACAAACTGTAATATTATTATTTTGATTATTATGTGGGTAAAAAGGGTGGATTCCTTGAATTTTTAGTCAACTTTGAATGTTTCTAAAAAGAAGGATGTTAACTGATGAAAAGAAATTCCACAGGAAATAAAAGGGATTGTATCTCACTGATTGATTAGCAGCCTTTAATTGTAGAAACAGACCAACCTTCTTAATCGGAGTCAAAATGGATAAAGGCAAACATAGATATAGAATAGGTGTACAGTTGTTATTTGATAATTGGTTAAACAGGGTTTTTGATAATGGATCCAGGAGTGGGAGTTGCCGTAGCCAGCGGCTGCCACAGCTAATCACATTAGAAACAAAACAAGTTAGAAGTACCAAAGTTACTGCATCCATCAGGTGTAATAAAATAGAGCAAACATAACACAGCCAGTCCTTTATTTAGTCTGAAAGGTGAACGGTGCCTCCCTGCATAGCAGTGAGTTGATTCTAGGAGGGGCTGAGATTTTTTCTATTACACAGAACTTTCATGACGCTGCAGAGCTGTGGTTAGCCTGTGTGCAATGTCCAGCAAAATCCATGTTGTGTGTCTCTATACAAATGTACAAATCTCTCTCTTTTAGTTTGTCCAACAGATACCAGACATGTAGACATAAACAGTTTATGAGGGATTTTATAGTGTATTTTCTACCAGTTGATTAGAAGTGTACATTTAATTATAGTGGAACATTGTGTAAGACATCATCTAGTCCAAGTCGAAGTTGATATGAGGGTATGCAGGTTTGATTTTGATTTGTCTGTTTAGTTGTGTTTTTATCATTTATTTTTATTTTTTTGATTAATGTTAAAAATATTTTTTTGTAATTCTTTGTTTCTGTAGTTTTTAAAAGCCTGTTAGACAGTGCTTTAATGAAAACAAGAACATCCGAAGTAGCAATAATATTCTTTAAAACCTTTAGAAAATGATATGACAATGCAAAAAGAATTGATTTTCCAAGTATAATTGAGTGGGTTGCAGTCTTTACTGGCCTTGATATCCCTTTTAAACAAGGGGAACCAAAAGTGAACGCTTAATAGGCGATATGAGAGCGCAATCTGGCATATAAAGGCTTAAAAGTTCTGAAATATATATAAGAGTCTGAACACTGAGTGCTTTGTGATGAGTGGAATCTTAAAATCAGTTCTAGGCTGGGTCCACCTATAGGTCACTGGCAGGCTTGCTTTTGTGTGACTTTTCCTTCATAGCCAACAATTCCTCTGATGGAAACCAGTATCCTGCAGAAAAATAACAGCGTGAATGGCTGTGTGGCAGCTATTGTCACAGCAGACAGTGCTGTATGATTTGTTTACTTCCTAATACCAGCCAAAGAAAGGGCACATACATTTTATTAGAGTTACTTGAATTGAACTGCTGTAGTATCAGCTCTGGCATCGATGCCTTGTTCTTGGATTATTGCATTGTGGCAGTGTCTGGGAAGAGATTTTGTTTTTCTTTTGTTCTTCTTTGTTTGAGTTTGATTAAGAAATTTCATCTTAACAGCAGGCTGTAGTTGTAATTAGTCCTGGGATTAGATAAGTGACTTCAGCTGTTCAGTTCAGCTGATTCTTGGATTGCCTTTTTTTCCACACAGCAGTCCACACTCAGTGACAGTCTTAAACAGCCCAGTAGATGGCAGACAAATCTGGGCCGCTGATGGTGTACTGGCCACAAAAAAAACAAAAAAACATCTGCTGTGCTCATGTAGTTCAACAAATGACCAGAAGAGACCACACTATTCCAACTTTTGATTGCTGTACCATCTGCAGAAAAAAGCCGTGTGAGAGGTTTCAAAGAGATCAGAGTTGAATTCATTTCAGTTGAATTTAACTCAGAATGCACACAGCAGCACATTTGAACATAAAATAGTTCTATCTCAATGTGTTGCTTGCACAGGCTTGTCCTTTTCAAAGTGTTACATAGTGACCAACAACATTTTGTGCACATATAGTGAAAGGAAAAATGGAAAATATTTTTATTTTCTAATGCACAGAAATCCCAATTCCAAATCAGACTTTATAACCTCTCTAGCACATGTTTTACAGATATACTCAGTGTATAATGCTAAAATGAACTTATCCTACTTATTAACGACAGTAATTTTAACTATTGAATCTTAATCTCACTATTCAATATTTCTCCCTATTAAGTCAACATCTCCATAGAGAAAGGTTACATATCTAATGCATATGTAATTTTCACCTAATAATGTCAACATCCCCTGAGGATTTGCTATGATCAAATGCAATTAAATTGGACCTTTTCAGTTCAGAAATTGTATTACACCCTGGGATAACTGGCAAGTTAAATTTAGAAGGAAACTAAATATATGTTTAAAACCTGTATTCAAGACCTCTTTTGTATTTTCCTATGTTTTTTTGTGTGCGCAAAGTTTCAAGAGTTTGATTTGTCACAAGCATTAGTGAAATGCAGTGAGGCATGCTCATTAAGGCTGTGTGAAAAATAAGAATTAGAAAAAAAAATATTTGTTTTTCTTTATTCGATTGAATAATATGTGTATATATTGTATTATATATATGTATAGATCATAAAGATACAATTTAGCGTTTCAGGTAAGAGCAGACAAACTGTAAGCAACTGCCTGACCGTATAAGGATAATGACAGTCCTTCCTTACCTCTGACTAAAGTGTTGTTATTGACAAACCTTAACCACATCATAACCAAGCATGATCTGCCCCCCGTGGCCACAAACTTTAAGCAAGAAATGTCAGTCACTGCGGTCTTCACTGAGCTCAGGTGGTCACGCGGTTCCTGCGGTTTGTCTGAGGTTTTTTTCCCCAGGTGGGGGAGCTGCCACCCTGCTGAGAAGTACGCATGCGCGACAGTATTTAATCCTCCTACAGAGTTGACGTACAACACCTTTTGACAGCAAAGTGTTAACAAAGAAGTTTAAAATACAACATTTAGCGGCTTCTCTTGGCATTTCCTGTCCAATTCAGGCGATACTTGCCTGCTATATTTTTGTCTGCCGCTTCAGAATGTCCCTTTTGTGACTTTATTTGGGACTAAAGAAGGCAGTTAGTGAAGCTAGTTCCGCCTTGGATTCTCCCTGTGATGGACTACAGCGACAAGTGTCAAAAGTACTTAGAGGTCAACGAAACACAGTGAAAACAGGTCTACTGCCTTTTGGATACATTTGCACACAAGTTTACTGGTTACTTGAAAACGTGAGTACCCTCTGTGCACCATAATACGTAGGTAATTTTAAGCCAGAACGACTGGTGTGAACTAGTTTATGTGAGCTAACAAAGCTAATGCAGCATCGTTAGCCACCTGTTGCTGGCTTCAACTTATTTACGTTAGCTAGCAGCAGCCAAGGATTAGCACTATGCCAGCCCTCTTTGTAATGCCTTTCTATCTTTAGCTCACACACATACGTTTGCTTGGTCAAATTATAAAGAAGAAATGCACAGCGAGACTAAAATTCAGCCTGTGTTACTATAAGTTAACGTTTACTTTCCCCCAATTAGCCTATCTGCTAATACCTGTCTGATGTTAACTTGCTAGTGAAACGTCACATGTAACGTTAACATTAGTTTCGGGGGGGGGGGGGGGGGGCTGAAAGTCTGAATGTAACTTACCTTACTAACGACTTATTTTTGCCTTTAGTTGGCTTTCTGTTTTTATTCAGGACACATTACCACTGCGTGAGTGTTAAAACCTAGATTTAAAAAACAAAATGTTTTTGTATTGTTTTAATTTAGTACATTTGCAATAGAGACGTCACTGAGCTGTCGGGCCTTCGTCTGACATCTGTAGCATTACATGATAATGACTGGAGAGATGGTGTAAACTATTTGGCGTCCCTGGGAAACAACTTGCCTCTGTGAAGGATTCCACTGCATTCCATTCACAGGACCGTCTACTTGTTCCAACAAGCACCCAGTTCTGTTAGTCCTGGCTGAAAGCCGTCATACGCCCTACAGGGCAACAGAGTCTGTAAAGGAGGGAAGCCAAAAGCAGCTTCAGCTTATTGTATTTGTTCTAGATCGGCTGCTTTGTAATTAGGACAGTCATGTTATTGTGCTTTGTATGGATCTAAAAGGGATTGCACCTTGCTTGTTGAGCAGAAGAAGTGTTGGTGAATTCATCTCAACCTATGTTCATAAAGGTGGGTAGCATTTTGGAATGAGGCTGAGAGATTCATGGCGATGGGACATGTTGCAGAGTATTGGCATTGATTTTTTTCAGAAGATTTGAATGGTGGAAAGTGCATGCCTAGAGTGGCTTTTAACTTTGGTCTTGTTCGCAATAACACCTTTGGCAGATACAGAGAACTTTTGTCTGGAGGTAATTTTTACCTCGGCCAAAGAGGTAATGTGTTCAGTCCAATTTGCCTGATAGTAAGGTGTATGTCTCAAAAACTTGTTAACATTTTAAAATTTTGTGGAAGCAGGCCTTTTGTCAAGGAACACGTTTTTGGTGTATATCCAGGAATGAGCTTGTAGGATGGGAATCTTCCATAATTTGTGCTTTTTCTTCTCATGTACTACTGCACATCAAAAAACATATGCTCTGAAGCTACATACACTTTTAACAGTGTGTAAAATCTTTTTCTGTTTAAGCTACAACAAACAGCTTTGTGCAGCCTTGGTCGGTACTAATAATTAGAAAACGGATGTGTTCACATGAAGATTTTAATATTGTGGGTCTGTGTTGGACTTACATAATCAGCTGTGTGTGCCATTATCAGCTTGCTGTTGACAGTGGCTCACTGAGATCTTTGCAGCTCGCTCCCAAACAGACTCCAGCTTGGTTCTACATTTAGTGATTGCCAAGTCTGCAGAATGAGCTTGACCCAAAGTGCTGATTGTACTCACCTCAGCTCGACAGATCTGTCCCGTCCCGTGTCATCCCGTGAACTGGAAGTTCTTAATGATCTAATTGGGATCTCGCATGTAAAAACTGATGAACTACCAGTGCAGTGCAAAAGGAGCACAGATGATTTTAATTACTGACATTTCAAAGGAATCATATCTTTTTAGCATGTCGGCTAGAGTATGAAATACCTCTGACATTTCTTAAAGTGTATCATCATTCAGCAATCTCAGGAGTTATTGTTGCTTTGCAAAGGCAGTAATCTGTTATCATAAAACAGCATTTTTTTCCATTAGAACTAAGTAAAATCTACATTAACCAAGTGTTCACGGTTTGTGATGCTAATATTATTACTAAGGAAAGTGTCTTGGACTTGGTTTTATATTCATGTAAATAAACACTGTGGCTGTAGAGGCTGTGCTGAGCTGTTGCTGTCTTAGACGAGGTGTATTTGTTTTTAATTTTGATGACAAGCAGCAACCCTGGCAGTTAGCTTATCCAATTAGCATGCTGATACCTGTTGACCTTGATGGTTACCATACCATTCTGTGGCTTTCCAGAGTGTGCTTTGATTTATAAGCATTTATTACACCCTGGTTGCCAGAGGCTCAGAAGAAACAAGACAAAAAATATTAGCAACAATCACTTTTTTCTCACACGTGTCAGATTATTGGTGAATGCAAGATAAATCATTATTGTGGAAAGTAAGAAGAAGTGGTTAAGATGAATTAATTGAATTATGTATTCAGGTGTGGTTAGTACCACATGGTAATGGTAACTACAGAATTTATTTGAAGAGGAAATCTGAGGCATAAATGCAGATAACACCATCTGCTCTGATTCTGACAGTTAGCATTGTGAGGCAAACATGCAAAACACAATTGTCAGCCTGTTGTTCAATATAAATAGTAGTCTCTGTTTGCCGATGTGTCTCACATTTATTTTTGACATATTGTATTGACATTTATACCTAAAAGTCAGTCAAAACTGTCCTTAGTTCATAGATACACTACTCAGTGCTTGCTCACTTCCATACAAAATGCAAAAAGGCGTACACTCATGTGAAAGTACTGAAATAGCATGGTTAGATCCTGTTACCAAACCTGAATATCTGGCTGTCATTTTACATGCTGTTCTTGGAACTGTACTCTGTTCTCTGTATACTTTCAAGTGTGTGCTTGACTCACAAAGACAACATGGAAGCAATGACTTGAAAACCCGACATAAGGTAACTCATAAGCCAGGCTATCTTCTCCTCAGTCCTCGAATACTCTGTAGAATCATGACAGGACTGGGTGTGAACCGTTTGTGTGTTAGTACATGCTCTAGTTTAGCAGTCTATATGCTCACAAAGTGGTGCACATAAAGTGTTTGTTGTCAGTATGCACCAGCTCATTGTTGTTGCATTTCTGAGCGGGAACTTGCCTGGGCCAAGTTCACCGGGAGGATACTTGAGAACAGAATTGGGTTGCAGTGGTGCTGAACTTTGTCTAGTGAATTATTTGTGAGTTCAAGTGCGTATCAACTTCTCTGTCTTAGTGGGGAGGCTGGAAAGTATGAATAATAAATGCTTCATGGCTTTATTTAAATGGTAAGTAAGTAGGTATTTGTGTATTAGCGTAAGTAGCAGTAATCGTGTTCAGCATGCAGTAGCTGTACTTCCATCAGTTTTCTTTTACACGTGCCCTGTTGTTAACTATGTGTGTTTTTATTGGAAATAAATACAGTAATAATACAGAATAAGTAATTTACAGGATCAGTCAATTTATTGCAAGTTTCTAATTTACAGGTAAAATATTGATTTTTTTTGGCTGATGAGAGTATCCATGTGTTTTTTTTTTTCCCTAGGTTAGATTGCTCTGCTATTTTGTCAGTTCTGTACCTCTGTTTAATTGCAGCGAGATATTACATTATTTAACAGCTACATTCATTATTTTTGGTTACAGGAACAGCTCAGAATCATCTGCACTGTAGATGATTGTTCCTGTAGACATTTTGTGGTCAACCTGATGGTGATATGTAGTAGTAGCATATATATAGTGCACAGTAGCCTTTTAAAATGGATGATTTGAAGTGGTGTACAGTACAGACATGTAGTCCTCATTGCAGCTGTTGAGCATGTGCTGTGTGTACATTATAGCCTAAGACTTGTCAAACCAGTAGGACTGAACCAAAGCTGATCTGGCAGAGGGTTGTTAGCTGTTTAAAAAGTAACAGCTTAGTGGTAGCCTATTTTTGTCAATGGCGATGACTTGTCTCTTGTCAAAAGGATCTGTACTACAATCCAAGAAAATGGCACCCACTAAAACCTTACCTAATTAACTGAGCTTAAAAGGAAGATGACTTTGTGTCCTGTTTTATGAACTTGTCTGTTTGTATGTTTTACAGGAGTGCTGTAATCACTGTGCTGCTAACAAGAAGTCACTGACACTGTTTCTGTGGAAGATTTTTGTCGACAATCAATGATCTTCAGAAGAAGTAAGTTGGCTTAACAAGACAACATTTTGTAGCTGAATAAAGGTAGTAATATTGGCTAATGATAGTTAGTACTGTACTTTCATCACGACTACATTTGAAAGAAATAAAGGGAGGAAAATTGCTGCTCCCAAACACTGTATCAGGTTCCCCGGACGTAACAAATATCACAACAAACAGAATGCCAGCACTCGCAGTTAAATAGTCTTTGTGTTTTATTGTTTCTGCTACAGTAAACAAGAAAACTATTCACCTGTGAGTGCGGGCATTCTGCTGGTTTCCCATTTGAAAGAGAACCTGTGCTTTATCAGAAGAACTTGGCTTAGTCCACCTGATAAGAAGGTCAAATACCTGCCTGCCAGGCTACACTCTCCCTTTTATACTGCAGTGTACACATTATGCAGCCTGATTCAGTCACACAGGCTGGGTTTCACCAGTTTGTTGTCAAGGGACTTTTGACATTCCAAAGGTCCGCCTGATACTGCTGTTAGGACCCTCCCCTTTTTAGCGTCATGATGTAGCCGCGCCTACTGATTTTGACCAATGACAGGCAGGGCCATCATTTGAATAGTCACTGTGAATCTCACAGACAACACAAATTGACACTGCCTGTTTGCTCTGTGTTAGAGCTACAGGACTTTTTAACTTTCCAAATGAACTATAAATTATCATTGATAATTGATAACTACACATATTTAACTTTAATTGGCAGATGCATTGTTAAACAGTTAGATTTGCAGGTCTCTCTACCTCTTTTTGCACACACACGCTCACTGTGAAATACTGAGCTGTTCAGAGCTGTACTGAGCTGTGGCAGTCGAAGTTGTTAAATGGATTCCTCTGTACCTTCATCCTGGCGTGTTAATGAGTGAGCTTATTAATGAACTATTTTGTCTTTGTTAACACAAAGGAACTTTTGTTCAGCTTCAATCTTTCCCCCATTAGCTGCAGAGAACATCCAATCTATTGAAGTGCCCTGAGAGTCATTCACTAATTTACTGAGTAATAATAGAAATCTGGGGTCTTCAATGATCGGAATAAGTTTTGTAAGTTCCTGTAAAGTTAAACTTCATTAACACGTTTTGTTTTAGTAGATTTTTTTTATTGTTGGTTGTGAATTGAGCAAGTCTGTTCTCAGAGCCATGACAAGTGAGAGGTATTCATGAAGTAAAACATTTGTTTATACTGTGTCGAAGAACTCTTGTCATCTTATAGTGAAGTAATCTACGTTGTTAAAATACATTTCATAATGATCTTATTTGTTCATTTAATTCAGGAGCTGCTGACTGCTGAGTTTTGGACACTGTGATGGAAAATAATGGTAAGGAATTACTCCTTTGTGTTATAAGAATGTATAATCTGTGGTTTTAATGTTTTAAGTTTCTCATATTTTTTTTAAAATGCATGTCATCAAATGAAAAAAGGTTTTGTTTTTTATGGTTATGCTGGCTATGTGAGACTGATGTTATCTCAACCATAGTATCGTGTTGACAAAAAGCAGTGTCAGCAAACAAAGTGTGACGAAGCTGTCCATCAAGGGGTTGGCCCTGTGACACATTGTGCTGTTGACACTGCAGCTATTTGATTGGCCCTCACTCAGAGGACACACCTGGTAGGTTAGTAGAGCTGCCGTCTTCTCTCACTGCCTCTCGTGGCCTTGTGTCTAATTCACCACTGGCCTCAATTGTTGTCGACCTCAACATACCGCACGTACACTCTTGTGGCCCAGAGGACCTTTGTGACATCTGTGGGGAAATACCTTGGATGGCTGTTCAGTCTGAATATATTAGTGAGTAAACCTGCTTTTCTGTCTGTTGTTGGATGTTAAATGGTGAATAATTAACTTTTCACTACTTTTGTTAACTATAGTGCTCTGTCTTGAAACAATAATTACAACATGATTGAGACAGTAATCATAGCAAATGATCAGTAATCACTTTGTTCCCTTGAAATGCCAAGACAGGACAGGACATGGCCCCATGATCACTTTTTAGACAACTAGGGCATGGCAGGAACAGATTAAGGAAGCTTGATCTACTCATCCCTGCCTGGCCCTGTGGCCAAACAGTAAAAATAAACTGCACTTCCTCCTCGGTCCTATTCTAAAAGTGATGTGTTTCTGACATGAATGCATGGCTGTTGAGCACCTGGAGGTTTTTACGTGTCCTTGTATTTTGATCCAAAAGGCCAAAGTCATCCAGTTTGTTGGAGCTTGTTGGCTGGTTTTACGTTATATTAGTATTTTTAGTACGTTTAGTATGTTTTGGGGTTGTCATGCTAACATGGTTTTTGTGAGTCATCAAGTTTGTGTTTTTAGTTAGCTGAGCTTCATTTTCTCATGGAGTGGGTGTGTTTTATTGTTTTTTTTTTAAAGCATGAAAAAATGTGTTTGTCTCCATCTGCTGCTGCTCTTAGGAAAGAGTGAAAAGGATGCCAGTGCCACAGTGATCAAATGTTGTCATCTCTGTCTGTATGCCAGTGATTTCCAGGATTGTTGTCCAAGTTAAGGTCCTTGTACTGAAAGGCTGACTTGGACTTTCATTACACACATTCCTGTGTCAGTTGTGCTCCTGTGCTGTCGCTTTAATTGGACTGCAGAGGGGGCAACCGTGATGTAGGGTATTATGAAGTCAACTATTTAATGCACTGAAAACACAGGAATGGCTCTGTCACTGCTTACCAAACCTCTTCTTATTTAGAGTCCTTTAGGTATCAATCCATTACATTCTAGTGCAGTTTGCATCAGCATATTACAGTTTATGGAAAGTAATGTCTCCCTGCCTGTCTGTGGTTATTACACTGCACTCTCGTCCTTTTTGAGTAGACTTCACATTCAGTAAATCAAATTCAGTTTGAATAGCAGTAGAAAAGATGTTTAACATAATTTTTTGTAGTTGCACTTTTATCTCTAACATGCAAGGAGGAGCTCTTCTAGCTCCCACACACTAGTTAAATATAACCTAATCACACAGAGCTCTGATAGGAATGTTCAGACAGACTGCCTGGGTGTCCTGTTTCTGACCTGCATGGGGACACATGTAAGAATCAGGCCTCTAGACCAGTTTTGACCATGTTTCTGCTCAAGCTTTATGGTGTTTGGTACTTAACTTTGAGATATTTTCTTGTGCTTTCAGTGTTACAAAAAGACTGCGATACTCTATGTAAAAGGAAATATCTCAGAATTTCTCATTTTAAAAACACAAAAGTTAATTAAATTGTACTCAAAACACTTACCCAAACCTGAGGGCGGATTGAGTTGCTAATGTGTAATGAAAGTGTTATCATTTCACATGTGCAATTCATAGTTTTAGAAGGACAATCCCCGGAAAGTCACTGGACACCTCCGCTGTGTCACTTCCTCTTCTCTGGCTTTGCGCTCCACCTTGGCTCCGGCTCACCTTCCACTTCTCGAGTTACTTCGCCCCAAAGAGCCCGCCCCTCGCCCTTCAGGGAGTAGTATTTTGTCAGTCTGTGAAATGGTGCTAGCGGGGGGCCCACTGCATCCCAAATCCCCCGAGGCTTGATGCTGGACTGACCTCAAAGCTTGCCCGCTGTGAACTTTGCCCCTGAAAAATCTACTCTCAGGAATGAAAGGCATCCAAGACTGCCGGATTACTTTATTGGCGTACCTTATTTATGAAGTCAGAGCTCCAAGAAGGGAGGGACCTAAGAATTTAGCAAGTGAGTGTTTGTGTTTTAAAGCGAAAGAAGGAGGGAGGAAGGGCGGTAGAGACCAAATCACCCAAGCTGAAGGGAGGGGAGAGAGCAAGACTGTAGAGACAAGAGAGACTAAACGACACAAGTGAGCAGTCAAGACAGTCTTGAGTTACAGGAGCTCTATGCCTGATCAGAGAGGAGCGAGGTGGCGTTAGGTTTTCCTCTCCTGCCGTGCGCCTAGGGAGAGGCAGGGCCCGGCAGGCCAGTGGGGACAGGAGCCGTAGCATGGGACACAGTGCTAGCAGTGAGACAGTGGCCCAGCAACCAGCTCAACACAACACTGGTGAGTCCAAGACCACAGATCAGCACTAAATGGTTGCTGTGAACATTTTGACAGAATTTTGATGGGGAAACACCTGGCAGGCAGGTTTGCCTTTGTGTAGATTGGAAAGGCAACCAGAGGGCACAGTATATATGAGCAGGTGTTTTGAAAGCAGAGAGAAAATGGAAGGTGGCAGGCACAGACAGGTATGCATGCAGATGGAATGTGATGATTGTGAAACGCATGAACCACACAAACCTGTGTGTGTGTGTGTGTGTGTGTGTGTGTGTGTGCACGCAGCGCTCATCTCCCTGTGGAAGCCTCTCTGGAAAACAAGATTTGGGGGTACAAGGCACCAATTGACACCAGCTCTCCCCATGTGGATCTGGTTGTTGTTTCTTATAACTGAGGTCTGCTTGTCTTCTCCAGTCACATTGTAGTCCATAGGGTTATAGTGAACCCTAAAGCCCCTGTCTCTTGCTAGTTAAGCTAATAACCGTTCAAACATTCACATCCTGTTTTCGCTCTCTCAAGTTCTATTTGCACACTGTTTCTGCATAATATCATTGCCTCTGATTTGCTGACACTAGGCTGTAGGTCATGATCTGCTGTTTATGTGTGCTTTATATTTTGATACAGGGTTTCTGTTCCTAATACTTGTGAACCCTCTTGCCTAAATAAAACAAGTAACACGAGAACACCATCTTCGTTACATGTTTCCTGCCCGTACAACATGTATTTTTGCCTCTGGTGAGCTATTCTGTGTAGTAGGTGTGAATCTGTCATGTGACTGGCGTGTCATTTGGACAGCTTGACCAGAGGACCGCAGGGTACTGCATTAGTGCTGAGTGGTTAGTACAGGTTTGAGTTTGAATGGCTTAACATTTGCAGAAGCCTTGGTGGATACTACTGACTTAGGTTTAGCTGAAACAACTTTTCCTGTTTAGAGACAGTTTATAAAGTCATACCTGAGGCTTTTTAACCTCATCTGTTAGATGCCTTTTATTATCTGATTGTTCTGTGAGAAGCGGCCATCTCAGATTGTCATTCTCTGTCACCACATCACACTTTGCTTCTGTTGCAGGAAAACTACATCGGTGTTCTCCCAGTTCCCCCCTCCCAGTTTAACACCCTCCGGTGTCCGGGGTATGAGTCAGGAATAGTTTGAGTGCCAATGTAGTGTACAGAGTAGTTAGCATGGGCCATACATGCAACAGCCTGCTTTACTTCATACAGTGGGTAGACAAAATAATTTTACAGAGAAGGACTTGTTCGTGACGAACAGTTGCAATGGAAGGTCCTCTAAGGTTGAAGGCCAGTTATTCGTGCCCACACAGCATTTGTGTTTTGGCAAATTATCTGTAACTAAATTGTAAGTCTATTGGTCAATAAAACTCCAATTTTATTATTTTAATATGTCTGGCTGAACAGTCTCAAGTCATTTAGTGGGCCAAGCAGACAAATTGAATCGACACAGAAAAACAGGAATGTAAAATATATTGCTTATTGACACCTAATCTGACACATCTTAAGTGCATTTTTATGTGCTCCCAGTCGAAGTAAATGCACCCAGATATGACGACAATAGGCCAGTTAAAAAGCTGGTCAAGGCTGAAGAGTCCACATCTTTCTGTCCTGCCATGTGATACATGACACAGTGTAGCATTGCAATAGTTTGGAAGTGTTCTCATGTCAGATTTGTACCACAAGTTGTAACCAATCCACTAGTTGATTCATGTGTTGTGCTCTCTAGAGGTGGCACCAGAGTTGATATTCATGTTTACGCTGACTGTAAACTACAGATATTTGGAATAATCATGGTCGCCAGTTGCTCCCTCCGACAGTTAAAGGTGTGTGAATGTGGAAGTAGCTTAGTCTCAGAATATCAGTTTGAATTGATCTAACCAATAACTAGACCAATAAATCTGTCATGTCCATGTATCGGCCATATTCGTTTAGTGCAGATATTTTGATATCTGTTACTGATGTAAATAACAAAACATTGTTTTACGAAAATGTCAAAATAATGTTTGAGGTAATTTAGAAAAGGTGTAGACGAGTTTATTTTCACACTTTAGAATGTCATGCTCAGGTTGTATCACAATTACTATCTATATAACTCTGTAGCAGTATCAGACAGGCTCTAATATCAGGCTTCACCAGGAGAGCACGGAGTGGAGTAGACAGGTAAAATGAATGTTGAGTTACCGGCAACTCGTTACATTACGCAACCCTTACATTCATTGGTTGGTCAGGAGATGCAGTGACGTCAACCAACAGCGAGTCAGAAAAAATATAGGTAATATCTAATTTGCTAAGCTACAAGTAGAGGAAAAGCTAGCTAATCACTAGGCTAATTTATGCAGTGCAATGTCATATGCCATAGGCTTAAGCTAATGAACCTTGACAGTTAAATCACAGCTACAGCCTGGCGGAGAGTGACTGAGCTAAAAGGAGACTAAATGGTAACCAGCCAGCCACTGATGAAGCCCACATAAACAGTACAAGTGTCTGGAGAGCAGCACTGTCTGCCTGTATATTCTTAACTGATCAAATTCTAGTAGATGATTTAATACATCATGCATTAATCATTCACACCTACATTCAATATACAGAACACATTTTTTTCCAAAGGAATGTGATGTCCTGTGCTTATACTGGCTACATTAATCTCTGACCTTGAAAAACTCATCCTTAGGACATGGGTTTTATAGTGATTGTAAAAGGTAACAATCCTCTGTTAATCCCTCAGTGTTACATGTGTGACAACCTGTAGCATGCAAGATCAGTCAGTGTGAGGAGACTGGTGACCCCCTATTGTTCAGCTGATCAGTCAGTTAGGGCATTGCTAGAAGGAAACTGGAGAGCCCATCTTTTCACCTGCACCTTGTTTCTATTCTCATGACTTGATTGGCTTACAGTATCTACCAAGTAGGGTGTGTAAATTGAGCTGCCTGACTTTTTATACAGGATATGTGTTTTGCAATTTTTTTTTTTCTTCCTAAAATGGACAAGCTTGTGTCATATGAGTATGTGCATATAGAAGTCAGCGATCAATATTTGAATTCAATCATGCATTTAGATTGAAGTTGACACACGTGACACATTTGCCGGCCAGGCTACCTCGACCACATCCTTCCTTTTCATCATAACTGGATGTGAGTCCGCCCACCATGCATGCCACCTTCACACTGTCACACAGTGTTCAGTGTAACTGCTCTAATGAGAATATGAGCTCACCTGTCTTCCTGTACATTGTGAAAGCATAGTGAAGTCTCCCTCCCTCCTGCCTGCACTCAAACCACAGGCCTTCTGCATGGCTCTATGCTTGCTACCATGCAGCACAGTGTTGTGTAACTGCTGCCATACGACTCATCACTTCAGAATTATAATGGTGGTTTAACAACCAGTTTTCAGTAGCACAACACCAACTTGGGAATTTTGAGTCATGGTTTCTGTCACATTTGTGTGCTTATTTAACAATCCAAAAACAACCCCAAAATATCTAAAGTTGTTATGGTGACCCTAACAAATGCAGAGGATGTTACATGATCGTGTACCCATCACTGTTATGGCAAACATCACACATTAATTCACAGCACCCTGTAAATAATACCAGAAGAAGAAGCTGTGTCCATATTTCACTGTTTGGCTCCTTGCGACAGATGAGGCAGCTAAGCGGGCACTATGAGTGGAATTTGGACCTGCATTGTTTTGAACTATGAGAGCTATGAGATAATTGAAGTAGTAGTTTAGAGCAACTTGCAAACTTGATCAGGAATCAAGATCAGGAAGAAAAGAGGAACTATTTTGTTTTTGTTATTATTTTATTAATTTTAGTGTTTTATGGATGAGCCTTTATATTGAATTGCTAATACAGCAGGTTGAGATTTTCCTGTATAGCAGGCAGTTAGGATGGCATATCGTACTGATGTGTTAGGTATATAATGCTGTATGTTTATATCCTATATTTCATACATGCTCTATCAAAAAACCTTGCCATCTTGACAGTGCTAATGATCCAAGACTTCTTAACTAACCCTGCACTAAAACAGAACTTTAGTGGTTGCTATAGTCACATGCCGCAAGCACTTGTCATCCGGATGTGGGCATTTCTTGAGACTCAAGATAAAATTCCACTGTGTCCAATTTGTAAAAGAGGCTTGTTGAGAACTGTGATATGTGTGTTTGCCAGTACAACATAGCAGGGACTTTCACAGCTGTGTGAATTGTGAGCTGTGTAATAAATGCTGAATGAAATATTGTTAAAATGTTGTTGTTTGGTTGTTTATTTAGATCCCCATTAGCCACAGTAATGAGAACAGCTACTCTTCCTGGGGTCCATAGTTGTTGTTCAGTCACAGCTTTTTATGCATGTTACTGACGTGCGATTATTCAGAGCGTGTACTGATGTAGCTGAAACAGGGTTCCTGCATCTCTAACACCACCCAATACCCAATGCTGTTCCATTTAAAAAAAAAAAAAAATAAAGTAAAAATATCTTCCACAAGTCAAACTTTTGAGTCAGCTGTTCTTTGCCACTGTGTCATGTTCATGCAGATGATGAAGTTGACCTGCAACACAGTACAACGCCGGATGACGAAGGAAACTCTGGTGGGGGATCACCTCCAACCAAACCCAAAGGCAAGTTTTCCAAAATGGGGAATATCTTCAAGCCCTGGAAATGGAGGAAGAAGAAGCCAAGTGACAAGTTCACTGAAACGTCGAAAGGTATGCTGGGTGCAAGGGCTCGTTATTTTCGCCTGTTATGTGCAATGCTTGATTTATTTGGATATCTTTTTTCCCAGTCTTGGAAAGAAAGATTTCTGTTAGAAAATCTCGCAAAGAGCTGATTGAAAAAGGGGTTCTGAAGGATATCCCAGAGAATGGTAGGTTGAGCTTTAGTTGTTTTTGATAAAGATTATTCTGTGGATGAATTTGCTCCGTCTTTGACATTTACGTTTTTTCACTGTTTGTATCTCCATGGGACAGACAGCAATGATGTTAACCACTCAAAAGCTCCACCAGTGAAAAATGGGCACCCTGTGCCGATGGATGTGGATAAAGTGTCGGAGGCAGGGGTGCGAATACCTCGAGGGGAATCTGACATCAAGGTGAAAGCAGATGAACGTAGAAACAGAGTGGCGTCCGATGCCACCCGAAGTAACCGGGCACCTCTGGATGTGGACTCTCATGCACGGCTTTCTGTGGATGTAGACAGACGAAGTCGTCTTCCATCAGATGTTGAGAAGAGAGGCGGAACTTTACCCCGAGGACCTCCACAAGATGATAGATACCGCAGAGACGAGAGGAGAGATGGAAAAGATGACAGAGAGGACAGAGGAAGGAAGAACAGGGATGATATGGAAAGAAGGGACTGGCGAGAGGAAAGGGATGGAGTGGTTGACCGAAGGGAAGATGGAGACTTCAGAGAAAGGCGAGAATGGAGAGATGAAAGAGAGAGGAGAGATGAAAGAACAGAGAAAGACAATAGGGAAAGGAGAGAGCGCGACGAGAGGGAAAGGAGAGAGCGCGACGAGAGGGAAAAGAAGGATCGCGACGAGAGGGAAAGGAGAGATCGCGACGAGAGGGAAAAGAAGGATCGGGATGAGAGGGAGCGCAGAGATCGCGACGAGAGGGAACGCAAAAATCGTGATGAAAAGGAACGAAGGGAGGACAGAGACCGGAGAGAAGATCGGGATCGGCGGCTTGAGAGGGAAAGGAAAGAGAGCAGAGATGACCGAAAAGATGAAAGAGAAGAGAGGGAGAGGAAAGACGTGCGAGGAGAAAGAGATGACGGGGACAGGAAAGATGACCGAGTGAGGCGAGAAGAAAGGGACAAGGGGGGTGACTGGGCCAAGCGAAATGAAAGAGAGCGACGAGATGAGAAGGAAAAGAGGGAGGAGAAGGAGAAGAGGGAAAAGCCAGAGCCTCAGCGGCTTGTCTCTGAGATAGACTTGCGGCAACAGAAGAGCTCCATAGAGGACAACAAGAGGGTTTTCCCAGCCTCTGAGGCTGACAGCAGGAACACCCTGCCCAGATGCCTCCCAGCTGCACAGTTCAGAGATCGCTCAGGTAAGATCTCTGTCTTTGGTTGAATTGTACTAGATAACCTGTTTTTCTACTTTTTAACCTGCACGTTTGTGGCATTCTACGGTGCAATGACAATTAAGAAACCTCTAGTAAGAAAGTTGATTGTTCTGTTGTCATTTCTCACAATCCAAGTGAAGGGTTACTACAGGAAGTCAAGAAAAATCAGGGGTCATGTTATTTTGATACACTTTATAACTTCAACAACCACAACACAATGCAAGCTGAATGATGCACACTAACTTGGTTTTATTTTAAAAATAAAAATAAAAATCTCTTACACTCCTAAAAATCTGTTAAAAGGTTGAGCGATGCAGAGTGCAAAGTTTTAAACTTGACTGCATGAGCTGGAGCTACAACCAGGGCTCATGTGCATCTCCACAAAAAGATGACTACATTTTGGTGACATTGTTACCATTTGGAGACTTGTTTTCTTTCACGTTTCCGACGCTGGTGCAGATTGTTGATAGTGAAAACAACTAGACCACAACAAGATAAGGAAAGACTGTAACCTTTTTTTTTGCTTTGACTTTACACTAAAGGATATTTTGTGACCCAGCAAAGCCATTTTTGGCATTCTCATGACAATCCTGCTGTTATACGCAGTCAGTAAAAGAAGTTAATTTAATTTAATAAAGAAGTAATTACCAGTGCAAACCTTCCCGTTATAACCCTGTGTCATGAAGGGAATAGAGGGGTAGGTTCCTCGTTCTGTGCAAGAATGTATTCCAAAGTTTAAGGAAGATAATGAGACTTTGAGTTAATCAGATGAAGTTGGCGTCTTCCAGTGTCTTTTTAGTACAAAATTCCCTCCTTTTGTAGCTCAGTAAATAAATGCTAGAAACAACAGAGGAAGATATTTAGTTTGATAGGACTACTGAGGCCTCATTTACTTCAGATAAACTGTGGAAGGTATTTTTCCCAGAGCGAGGTCTGTGATATATATAGGGATCTTTTAATGGACAGGAGGAATGATTACATCAAAGCAAAGACTGTTTCAATGCGCATACATGTGAGTGTAGTTTTAAGACAGATTAGAAAAAATATGAACCAGTTACAGTCATTTATGCATATAATAATGCAGAGAAGAGGATATATTATAATTCAGAACTTTGAGTGTTTTTTTTGTCAAAAGCTCCTTCTTTGGCCAGTTTTCCTTTAAATACATCATGCGTATCGTCACCCTCGAGGATGAGATTTGAACATATTTTATTACACACAAAATGATTCACCAGTTTTACTAGATGAAACATGTTTGTACTTGTATTTGTTATGTCGGGACAGCCTGCGAGCTAACGTCTCTTGGGTGCTGCACACCATTTTCCTAGTAAACAGTCAGTGAATGTTTTGCAATGATGAAATACCAACATGTGTGCAAACCAAAGTCTACTGGTGCTGCGTTTTGGGTAAATGATTGAACTGTTATTCTGACAGGGGTTATGAAGCTAAGCTCAATCTAAATTCCTTTAAAAAGATCTTGACACAGTAAATATCAGGCTTTGATACATGGATTTATGTGAACATGAAACAGTGTTTTCCCTAGGATGGAGTTGGGGCAGCAGAAGTGAAGCGAATATTTTTTTTTTGTTCATATAAAAAATAGAAAACCCCAACACAACATGTCTTAGCAGCATTGCACTTGTGTCCATGAGTATTCGATGCACATTAAAATACCTTAAAATTTCAGTGTTTTCCCATAGTTTTATAAGAGCTTTAGATGAATGTTTTGGTGGTGGTAGTAGTAGTCATGGTCAGGGGGTGGGGGGGGGTTTGGGGGTCCATTGAAAAATATGTAATTTCGGATGAAACCGGGCCATTATTTTTACCATATGTCTGAACAAATGGTTGAAATGGCTAGATAATAAACAACACACAAAGATCAGTCTACTGGAGAGGAACTACAACCTTTAGATTCAGGGAAAGTAATTTGGTTGGTTCTGATGTTCTCCACAGTGATTTTACATTTATGACACAGCATGTTTTGGGCATCACCCCCTAGCCTTAACAGCAGGAAAACCCTGTTAGTATGACCTCAGAATCATTATAGATTGTTCATGTTTGCCTTTTGTGTCTTCTTTTTACAGTTTTAGACATTTATCTGTACACATCAATATAAAAAATAGGCAACATGAAATTTGCACATTAAAATCCCCAAAACAAACGTCTCCTCATTAGCTTCTAAGGACTAGTTTGCATCACTAATTCGCTTTACTAACCTCAGCTCCTCCAGTCACCACCGTCCTTTCCTTTCCTTACAACCACTTTTTCAGACCCATCTGAAAACTGAAAAATAATTTAGGATGAACCAGTCTGTAAGGCTACAGGAGAGAGCTGTAGGCTGCACCAGTTTAGTCTGTTTAGTGTGTACTTGATGCTCTGCCGCTCCTGAATGCTATATGGGAAAACACCGTGAAAAGAGGGTAGAACAAATCATTAGGACCCCTCTGTGTTTCTTTGAACTTTCTCAATGTCTGCTGTGTGTGAGCTTTAGATGGTCTGATTCATGTCAGCTCTCATCCTCTAATAACTGTAGAACCTCGATCAGAATTGCTCTCTGCGTAAGCTCTGAAACATCAGCTTATTTTGCAAGGTTCTCCAACACTTCAGCTCCTCCCTCAGTGGTTCACTGTATATGTTTCCCTTGTACTTAGTTTTGTAATAGAGGAGAGCAACAGTAGAAACCTTGTCGTTTTGGTCTCTCCTTTTAATATGTGTGTTTGTGTATGTACCCCCTCTGCAGAGTCCACTGGCGTCCGTTTCGCCCCTGACCCTCATCCAGCACAAGACGCTCAGCAGGAACCTCCCCCACATAAACAGGCTCTGCTTCCCCCTAAATGTGTCACTCTTCCCTCCCCCTCCTCCTCTTCTTCATCCTCCTCCTCTTCTTCCTCCTCATCATCATCCTCCTCTTCCTCCCCGCCTGTTATAGCTGTGGCCAAGCCGCCGAGGACAGTCTCCCTAATAGTTACCGACCCACCTCGACCCGCCCCCCCTGCTCCTTCCCCAGCTGAGTCTGCCTTGCCGCCACCTGTCCCTCCCCACGCCAAGCAGCCTCCTGTCCCTCCACCCAAACCCAACAACCGCAACAGCAACCCTGCAGTGCTTGGTGAGTTACAGTTTTATAGGACACACAAAATAAGCATCTCTATAAACTGCTGCTTTGTGTATCTTTCTTTAAATTATAAGTCAAACAATCTCCTGATGCTACAAAGCTTATTTTGGAGGTTGTCTGCCTGTTTGTTTTTAATAAGGCCCAGGAAAACTGTGTATTTAGTATTTGGAAAAAAAACAAAACAATGCTTCAATCAATTGCATGTCAAATGCTAGATTTGAACAATCATCTCCACAGAGGGCCATAGACCACTAGGCCATTCTAGCAACAACCCAAAAAAACTGCTGCAGTTGCAAAATGTCTAGCTGGTCATGCATGCACTTGTGGGATTCTCTGACACTGACACTTGAGAGTTTGCAGCCTGTTGCACCAGCAATGTTTGAGCTTAAACATGCTGTTGCACTGCACAAGTTAGTGACAACATAGACAGCACTTGTCACTACTTATTTGTAAGTGAAACGTCTAAGTGTTTAGTGAGCTTCCATATTTACAGTGGAATATAGCCAGACAAAGATGCATTTTAACATACCTTGGCTAGTTCACACTAAATTTATTGCATATTCCTTTATAATTCTCATTTAGCCTCTTTTTAATGACATTATCTCATATGATGTTGTTCTAATGAATACATCGACCAGTTTTTATATGATGGCACATTTGGATTCTCGCCTTCACAAAGGACTAACCTACAGTACATGACACCAGAGCCATACATAATATATTGGCCTGTAATTGATTCAATCCAGGTTTATTAGAAAATGTACACAATAAATTTAAGCCAGGGCACTTTGGAATACAAAACCCTAGACCGTCTTTCATATAATTTAATATCACACAACAGAAACACAAAGCATAAAGGAACTCTCCTTCCACTGTTGTAGTTGTCTTTTTCTTCTTATTGTCGCTAGCTGATTTTTACCTGAATTCTGTACTGGATGACACCAAAAAAGTTCTGATTATGGTCTACTTGGTTAAGTTGCAGCGTACGTGGTTAATTCAGTGTGAAACTAATTAGTTACAACATAACAGTTAGTGTTGACTTTGCACTCTACACTTTTCTTGAGCCGGTGCAACAGGCTGCGTACATAACAGGAGCACTTTTATGACCTCAGTTCTGATTGGGGAAGTTGAGGGATTTTTTTTCTCAGCCTGAAACATTCTTGTGGATCAAAGGCTCTTTTATTCAAACAGGCAAACTGTGATGAGGTGTCAGTAAAGGATGGGATTTACATAGTATGTTGCTAGTGCAAGGTTTCCGGCCCACACCCTGTTCAAAGGAGCAGATGTTACTTCTTGTTTGTTGTAATGTGGTTGGTATGATGTTTAACAGACCTAATCATATGTGGTTAGTGTGTGAAATAAAAGACTGATGAAGACACTGTAGGTAGTGGAGCAACATATACTTTCAAAGAATATGTCCAACTTTTGACTTTAACTGTTTCAGCTTATTATATATAGCCAATGCAGAAAAGAATATTCATATTTGATTCAGCTGTAATGTTAAGCTATACTTTTGCCTTGGTGCCAGATGTATTCTAGTGAACTAAAAGTTGTAAATATTCTGCTTTTAATTGGCATGTTTTCCATCAAATTCATAAATTACTTTCTAGAAACAAATCCTCATAGTACATTATCATGCATTTTTAAGTAGTGGTTGTAATTACCTCCGGTCCTTTTCCCGGTCGTTGCTATGTGTTTCCCAATATGTTGCTAGTGATTAGTTTCAGTGTGTGAAGACAACAGTCTCTGAAGAGAAGGCACGTACCGGCTTGTCTGTGCACTATATATGCAACACCAGCACTTCTCTTGAGGTTGGATTGAAACTGACTTTTAGTATTTCATGTCCTTTGTCCCAGCATGCCACAGCTGCTCTTGTTTATAGCCCATCCCAGTGCTGTCTCTGTGTGTCTGTGACAGAAGGACATTCCACTACCATTTGTTAGGGAGGTTTCTATACATATGGTACGACATTTCGTTTCACACTGTTACGTTCATTCTACAGGAGTGTGTCCGTTTCAGTTTATTTGTCCACGCTGTAGCATACATTTCCTGTTTTCAAATTGTTCTACTTTCTTTTAAATGTGTTGGATATTACATGTATGTTATCTTTTCTCATCAGAAAAGTTTTTATGTGGAACACATCAGAAATTATGTTCAGACCGAAATAGGATCTCTTTTTATTTTTATTTTTTAAGCTGATGCCGATGATATTTAACAGATGAACACAGCATGAACAAACAATCTTGTTGTGACCCACTCAGTGGGACATGTTACATTTGAAAAAATCACTGTCAATGCTCCCTGGTGTGACACTGTTTAAATTACTTCAGACCTAGTTTGGCATTTCTGTACTGCAATTTCTTTGTTATCAGCTGACGTACTACACGAAATATCTGCAGTAAGCTGTTACTGGCCGTTACACTAGCCTGGTAGATTTATTGGTCTAGCTCTAATAGGGATGAATATGATGAAACAAGGAAACTGTAGTGCATTTATGATTATTACAAAAGTATGTCTTATCTTATTGCTGCATAACTCCCATCTAAGGATGGGTGTATACTCTGCTTCTGGACAGTGTAAAACCAAGACAATTATCTTTCTCTCCCAGCTTGGAATGTAAACCCAGCCCTAGCTCTGACATCTCCACTCATTTTTGCCAGCTTCCTCATTGAACAGGGGCTGTAAGGGCAGGCAGCCTTGTTACTGGACCAGCTGGAGACGCCAGAGTGAGCTTGGCCTGTACCTTTCTCTACCTGTAAACCTGCGGCACAGCGCTGGCCAGACCTGCTCAGGTACCCAGCAGGGCGCCAGATCTCACTCCATCTTAACAGAGCCTGCAGACAAGTCGCGTAGATAAATTCACCGCCCTCATCCCCGCACATGGAGCACCTCCCCTCCATTTTAACACCAATACTACGTTGCATTTGCATTGCAGGATTTTCATCTGTTGGAGCTGTTTACAGCTCAACTAACTGAACTCTAAATGCTGCCAAGAAAATACTGCATGGAACTTGGATGGATGGATGTAGTGTGCTGGAGTGCATTTAATGTGTTATATTGAGCATTCAATGGGATCAACAGACTGTTTTTACACTTGTGTGTTAATATTTGCGTGTCAGCCAGCTCAGCAGTAACAGGAACGTCTTCTTTTCTCCCTGACTAAAGCTGTTATTGACACGTTTGCTTGTTTTTGTTAATGAAACTAACTTCACCCCGCTATAGACTGAATGTGCATCTTCATGTTCTGACTGCACGTTGTGTTTGTGAGCATAATTTACATCACAAGTATTGATTACTATTGTTGACTGTTTTTTTTTTTTGTTTTTTTTTGTTTTTATCAGCGGAGCTTTCACAGCCTGGCAGTGGAGTCATCATAGTGCCAGCACCTGCTAAGCCCTCACCACCGACACCACCAAAAAGGTTAACCCCTGTCACCAAGCGCCAATCTGTGGACCCGTCTCCTCCTAGTCAGGTCCCAGACGTTCCCACCACTGACCCGGCCTCAGCCCCTGTACTGGCGCCTCCTGTTGTCCTTAGAGGAAATAACAATGAGGACAAGACAAATGCTGCTGCCCCTCAGACCTCAGAGCCTCTGCCTTCACCAACGTCCCACATACCTCCATCTCCTCCCAGGGTCCATTCGCTCCAGCTGCCCAGCACCACCCCCTCTGGTCCTGTGCCCGCTGTGCAAGCTGATCCCCCCAGCCCGACCACCGAGCCTCCCAGCCAGCCTCCGGCCATCCCCCTTCACATCCTCATCCGGAGAGCCCTGGCCAACCCCAGCCCAGCTCAGCCCAAATCAGACGGCTCCCAGAGGGCCCATTCAGTTCTGTTTGAGTCTCCTCCTGATGTCCTCGCCGAGCAGCGGGGGAAGTCACGGTACTCTCTCCCTGTCACCATCGAACCCCTCAGGCTGTAAGTGTCCCACATGCTGTGCATTGCTTTCGTACATGACAAAATATCATTGCTCTGAAAGCTGACTGTGAAGGAGAGCAGGTAAACCCATTGTTGAGAAGTTCACTTAGTAGAAAGTTTGCATTTCATTTGGTTAAATTCGGATAGCCTAACTGAGAGGAAACGCGTGGCTTGTCACATGGACTCACAAGGCAGCTATTGACAGATCCAGTTTGAGACACACTGTTTGATTAGAGGTTTTTTTTTTTTTACAGGAAGTGAGAGTAAAAACAAATCCATATGTCAGTCCCTGACACTTAGTCAATTCATCAATTAATATACAACCTTTTTGATAATCAATTCATTGTCCAAGTCTTGGCAAAGTCTTTTTTTCACTACTTTCTGAGATTTTACAGACCAAACAAATAAATGGAAAATAAAAACACGAATGAACAGATACAGTCAAGCACTTTATATAATATGTTTCATCCTGGTTAAGAGCACATGAAGATATTTCAAAATATCTCCTCACCCATAAACTTTTTGCACCTTTTTTTGCACTTCAATAATCAGTCACCGGACAAAACAGAGTAAGACATTACCGACAAAGAAAAACTTAAAAGGAAACAAACGGAAGAAACCTTGGGTGAGTCAGGTCCAAGAGGAACCCCAAATTGGTCATGTAAAGATTACACATTGACTTTTCTCTTCAAATTATCTTAGGCAGGGGTTACTAATTGGAGGTAGCTGCAGTTGGATGGCAGTTTGTCGCTGTCTTTAATTATTTTATTAGATGTTCAGTAAATTATTTGAATTTAATTTCCAAGACACAGCATGAAACTTGTGAATTGAATGTTATTGGATTTATTATCTGTACTCTGAGATTGGCTCAGTTCAATTTGAAGCAAAAATTCATAATAAAAAAAAACAAAAAAACTTAAGGACTTTGTTTTAATGGGCTGTTGACCCGAAGGTAGTCTGTTGCTCCAAGGCCACCAAGAGAGCAACCCCCTCAGTCAGCCAAATAAGAGTCCTGTAATACTGTGCCTTGTTAATCTCTTCAGAAAACAATTGAGCTTTATTCCCTCACCTGGCAAAACGCTTAAAGATTGTCTGCGACTGTACCTAATGGTACGAAGATTAGACGAATGCCGTCTGAGCTCTTTCACAGCCGTACTTGTTTACAGGCCAGAAGACGATGACTTCGACATGGAGGAGGAGCTGCGGAAGCTTCGACCTCAGAGGCCTCAGTGGCCTCCTCGCCAGCCTGAGATGGAGCCCCGCAGCAGGATGGGTTTGGTCGGAGATTACAGAGTGAGTGTCATCCCTGAAGACAGAGACTCCGAGGAAAGCGAGGAGTCCGACTCTGACGGCCCTATCCTGTACAGAGACGACGATGATGATGATGAGGACGATGAGGAAGGCCCTCCAAGTAAGTTGGTCTTATTCTGCTACATTAAAGTATAATGGGAGAGACAGTAGATACAAGTGCCTTGGTTAAAAATACCGCATCACTTTTCAGAGTGTGAAAATCCCTTTCAAGTAGTTTTGCCTTGTAGTTGCACCTTCAAGCCTGGGTTTGGCGATGGGCTTTCACTCACTTTTCTTCTTTACCAATAAGGACATGTTTGTAAACAAGTAAAGGAAATGGTGCCTACTAAATTATTTGATCTGGACCCTGATTAAAGCTGCATGCATGTTACTAAAGAGTTAAGTTTCACATGCAGGTATGGCTGTGCGATATGACGATGTCTCTTGTTTGATGATAGAAAAACGTCTATCATTTACAATTATGCTGGTTTATGTTCCACACTTTACCGTAATATTTTGGTGAGGGAACATAAAAGTATACAAAAATTACAATAATACAATGCTGACAAGAATGTGCAAAAATTCACAACATGAGCATAAAACACAGTTGAGCGTTGGTGTAAAGTGTGGGGTCAGCAGTAAGGGTGTTTGGGGAGGGGTGCGTGAGAGTCCGTGACAGAGGGGACCCGGGCCTTGTTGAGGAAGGCCACTGCAATCGGAAAGAAACTGTTTTTGTGGCGAGAGGTTTTGGTCCTGATGGACCGCAGCCTCCTGCCAGAGGGCAGTGTCTGATACAGTTTGTGACCGGGATGGGAGGGGTCAGCCACAATCTTTCCTGCTCGCCTCAGAGTCCTGAAGGCGTACAGGTCCTGAAGAGAAGGAAGATTGCAACCAATCACCTTCTCCGCAGAGCGAATGATACGCTGCAGCCTGCCCTTGTCCCTGGCGGTGGCAGCAGCGTACCAGATGTTGATGGGGGAGGTGAGGATGGACTCGATGATGTTGGTGTAGAAGTGCACCATCATTATATCTGGCAGGCTAAACTTCTTCAGCTGCTTGCTGTTGTTGTGATGCTAGCTGTAGCAGCAGAAGAGCTGTGAGCGTCACTCTGAAACTGCTGTGTTGCCCTGGGACCTTCTCATCCTCTCATGTTAGCTTTGCGGCAGCAAGTAGCCTCAGTTTGGCCGCAACCTAGCTAACCTCATCACTTTTTGAGAACATACTAAAAGTTAATTGAGGCCCTATGGCTAAGAGGATCGTAAAAAACATCTTATGAACCTTCTTCAGCTTTAAGAGGTGTTTCCCAAAAGCACTGTAACTGAAGACGCATTTAGAAATGGTGGCGAGTAACAAGTGCCTCTTGGTCAGTTACAGGAGGCTGTAGGAGGACTGGCGATGCAGAACGATTGAGAGTTATTGAGAAACAGGGCTATAACCAGCACGCGGGAGCTGATTCAACATTAGATCTTGTAACATAATATAGGAGTACACTAAGAGGAAGGCACTAGAGAAAGTTTAGATTTATGGTCTATGTTTTCCCTTCTAATGAAAGAACCACACTGTATCAGTAAATATATGGGTCCTATGTGTAACAGGTGGACTGGCCAGCCGTGTGAAGAGGAAGGACACGTTAGCCCTGAAGCTGGAGAGACGGGAGAGAGAAGACCGAGAGCAGAGGGAGGATGAGGAGAACCACGACCTGGGTTGGCAGAACAAGGAGCAGTGGTTGGAACTGAGGAACAAGATCGGTACCACACTGAACCGGTAAAGGACTCTCCTCACATCAGCTGACTGATGTACATAAGGATGATATACATCCTTCTTGTAAAATTGAATGTGTTTGACTGATTACATAGATACATTGAGAGGCCCATCTAGTCCAATGATTAAACACACTCATACCTTTTTACTTTATCATGGAACTGGTCCCTTCCCAAGATAAAATATGCATTGCTTTCAGAAAGATCCATATCATCCTTTAAAAATGAGTAGTCAACAGAGTTTTGTGTCTTCAGGCGGCTGAGTCAGAGGCCGACAGCAGAGGAGCTGGAGCAGAGGAACATCCTTCAAGGTAAGACTCTCCCTCACTTCCTCATTCAGGTGTTTATTTGTTTTGGATTCCTCTCCACCACAAGGTCAAAAAGCACATTTTTCATTTTTCCCATCTTTGTTGAAATCAATAGTCTGCATTAGTCATTTGTCCACAGGTTAATGGGTTTTCCCCCGCTCTTGCCTGAGGCATATTCATAGTTACCGAACACACAGCAGTTTGTGAAATGTTGGTGGTGAGTTGACTTTATTAAGTACTATTTCTGATTTGAACAGTAGTGCAGCTCCAGGGATAGATAAACGCACCAACCCCCCTACACATTATAAATAAGAATGGTTAGTCAGAATGTGTGTTTTTCTAGAGAAAGCTCAATATAGATTCAATAACAAAATATCAAACTGAAAATAACTGAATCAATGAGCAATCAATGTTCCTTTAGGCTGTGTCTATGAATGTCACTGTGTGCGGTCTACACACCTAGCATTAAATTATGGTTGTCAAATGCACATTGTGATGACCCCTGTATGCTCAATTGTGTTACTCTTTTTATTTGTCATCCATATGGTGTTTTCCCTCGTGTGATCACGTCTCAGTGTCTATGATCTTTTCATTTGTTGATCCTTTACTGTGAAGCACTGTGTGAAGTCTGTTTTCATATCACTGCTATAAACTAAATTATAACTGTGAAGAATGAGTAACACGTTCACCCGAAAACACACTTTTCTGTTGTGCTCCATTCATTTTCTGTGTTGAACTAAGGATGTGCAATGCTGCTGCAGATATTTCACCACTTCCTGCATGCATGTGAAGACGGTGGTCGGCCTTTACTGTAACATCAGAAGTTTTGAGCGTGACAGTACAGTTTTGGTCTGTCATGAGGTTAATGCATTGCAATGTGCAGTTTCATATCATATTATGCCATTTGAATTTGCACAAGCCTGCGTAGTTACAGTCTAACTTTAGCATACACATAGAAGAATGATCTTAATCGGATTCCGTTTTAAAACGTAGCGCTCTGATATAACAGCTGGTCTCGGTGTCCGCCAATACCCTGAGTTATGGTCGATATCGGTATATTTCTAAGTGAACAGTTGGTTAAGGGAGGATCTACCTTCATCTATGGCTAAAATGCAGCAGTGGAAATCAGGCTTGTGCACATGGATATATCAGAAGTTTAGTATTACAGAAGCATGTTTATGCGTGGCTTTAAAAACGCACACATATGCACATGGTTCTAGTCTGAATCCATACTATGTTTTAAGCATCTGGCTCCAGGGCCCAGTTATTCAAAAGTAATCTGATCTGATTTCGGCTGTCGGATAAGATCAAATCTAGAAAATGGGTTGTTAAATTGAAAACGAAAGGAGAGAAAAAAAAAAAAAGAGGAAAAAAAAGGATTCTGAAATCGGATCAGATCACTTAATCCAATCCTGGGTTTGGATAGGATCAAACCTTCAGCTTGTGTTCAAAACTTTTTAGTAGGATAGGGATCCTTTTGATCCAAAAAATCAGGATTATCTCGATCCCAACAGAACAGTGGATTCAGGGTGGATTTCAGAAAGAAAATGTAATAAAACTTTTAATTTATTTTTTAATTTTCAAAATAATACAATATTTTTATCATGTAGGAACATTTATTTATATTTTGCACTTGATTTGTTTAATAACTATAAACCATTCAGTACAGTAAAGTTAAAAAAAATAAAAAATCCCCCAACAGCTGTCAATATCAGACAAAAATATTGCATTTCATTTCAACTGTCACTTGTCACTGTACATTAATTACAATGGCACAATCATCAGAGGTGAACAAGGTAACAAGTTCATCCCTTATTGCAGGTCCAGTCAGTCCTTCACTCAGAGATCAGCCTCCTAAAAGCTAACAGCTGCTCTCTGAATGATCTCTATTTTAACTATTTTTCTTAGATTTGTTGTGGGTCAGATGGTCTGACTGTTTAAAGAAATTGAAAATGGAAGGAAATTTGTTGTTTTTTTTTATTGTGCGTCTGTCTCTTCAAATAAAAGTGACCCCACGCTGGCTGTTCTACCTGTTGGGCCTTATATCATTAACAGCCTACACTGTGATATGTAGTCCCATTTAGAGCACTGGAAATCCAGATTTGGTAATCATGAAAAGTTTGTAGCTGGATCAGGGTGAATGTTGCTTTGAAAAAAAACTGCATAAAAGTAAGATGGATTACGTGATCTTGGATAGCAAAACATGGGATTTCCAAATCCCGATCATTCTGATCCAGATTTAACTTTTTGAACAACTGGGCCCAGGTGTACAGAGTATTGTGAAAATCAGCCTACTGTGGTTGAACATCAGTGCAGCGTCACTGTGTGCCAAGTTGGATCCCAGAGCCAAGTATTAACATAATACTTCTGAGAATCTGTCAACACATTTTGATCCAGGATTTAGTCCAGCACACTGCGTCTCGCTTGTCCCCAAAAGACTCGGCCAAGACCAGGCTTCGCAGCCACGCTGACACAATGTGGCGCCTTGTGCAGAGCAAGGCGGTGATTAAAGATTCCAGTTACCGCAGCGTGCCGACAGCAGCTCGGGTGAAATCTGCCTGACTGGCTGCAGTGTTTCCCTCGCTCATGGAATGTCTTTTCTTCCTGCAGCCAAGAATGAAGCGGATCGACGATTAGAAAGATCTGAAATCAAACGGAGGCTCACCAGAAAGGTCAGGATGAAACCAAGTAACTGTATCATACACCAAATTATTATGAACTAGAAACTAACCCCCCGAGACAGACCTGGCTTACCATGCTCCTGTTCCTTCTGCCATCAGCTGTCGCAAAGACCCACAGTAGCTGAACTCCAGGCGAGGAAGATCCTGCGTTTCCACGAGTACGTAGAGTCCACCCACGCCCACGACTACGACCGGCGAGCAGATAAACCGTGGACCAAGCTCACTCCTTCTGACAAGGTGAGACTCGGCACATCCTCACAAGCGCGCGCACACACACTCGACACCTCTTTACACTAACAGGGCACTGAGCTTCTTAGCAAGAGAGACCCTAAGCCCTGTGAGTGGTCACCTATGAGGAGATTTGCATTCCAAGCAGATTCAGTATCGAGGAGGAATCCCAGGAATGCAGTACAGACGCTGCTTAATGGCAGAGTTTTACCAAGTAAATTACCTTGTCCAGTGAAGCGCAGACAACTTGTAGGAACAGAAATTCTTTGTGTTGGAAGTGACATCATTTTAAGTGCATGTTTAATTTGTACAAAAACAAAAAAACTTTTGTCTGGAACATTAACAGTCAACAAAAATCTAAAATACACGTAGCTTCGATCCTACACTTCCTTTATTCTTTTGTGCCTTGCTTTAACCATTTCCACTGTTTCTTTCACGTCTCCTCAGGCTGCCATCCGCAAGGAGCTCAATGAATTCAAGAGTTCAGAGATGGAGGTTCACGAAGAAAGCAGGATCTATACCCGGTCAGGCTTGTTTACAGTGACCATCAATAATTCACCTCAACTGTTCTCTGTTTATTGAGCAGACATCAATATTTTATTAGTTCTGTTTTGAAGAATTTCCATGTTTTAGCCTGAAGACTTTTGCAGTGATGAATGTTCTAGAATAACCTCTTGACCTTCTCCCTCTCTTTCTGCCAGGTTCCACCGGCCTTAGCTGTCCACGCTGACCAGTAAAGGCACTTAGACTGGGGGTCTTGATGAGCTGCAAGTTTGTCTCCCCACTGTGAACTGAACATGTGGTCCATTTGGTCCGTTTTTACTGACTGCTGATTACTGGAACCAAAGCGAAAGACGCCACAGATCAGTTCAACCATGGGCGGTTCTCAGACATGCTCAGGCTCTTACTGAATTCAGGACAGGACGAGTTTGTTTGTGCGGCCATGTTGGAGGTACCCAGTGCCAACACTAAAAGAGGGAGAACCCCCCCCCCCCCCCCCCCCCGCCCACTGGGGGCTCAGAGAAAGTTAGCTTGAACTGAAAGGATAACTGTTATCACACTGTCTCCGTCAGGGGAAACCACTCTCATCAAGCCTTTACCTGCCTTTGCATTATATTTTCTCCCTTCCATGCAGAACAGTAACACTATGCACATACAGAGATCATCGTAGTTCTTATTAACACTGTCGATTGTACAACCAAACTGAAATACTTCTTTATGTTACTACAGATGTCTACTCAAAGGTGCCATGCAGCACCAGCCTTACTCCTCACATGATCTTACACACTAATTTAATTTAAGGTTCAAACTAAATGTGAAAGACGTCTGTACAATAATGTGTATTTTATTTAAGACTCGGTTGGAGTTCTTTAAATCAACAGTTTGATCTCTGTAGACCCTCAGAGTGCTGATTCCAACCTCAAAGTGTGCATCTTACTGTATTTTGTTGATGATGATTGAAATGATTCTCATGGAGCACATGTCACTAGACTATTTTCTAATAAGGCACCTTATCCTTAATTGGGTGTGTGGAAAATGTAAACGTTTTGAGCGTTTATATTTCTGTGTTTATAATTGAATTATTCAAGCAGGAAAATGTACATATTTTTATTTTCCTGGCTGTTTTTATGGTACTTTATATATGCAAGTCCATAGTTGGCTGCAATTGTATAGATCAATTGTGTAGATTTGATTGACTTTATATTGTACATCTGCAGTAATGACATGTTTTAATTGTAAAGTATTTCTCAAATGTTATTTCCAAGTAGTAACGGCACAAAATCTATATTTTTTTGATACAAAGATCTTTAACATGTTTTTGCAAACCACACTGTACAAATGAATAATCTGCTCAAATTAAAATAACCTGTGATTTTCATTTCAAAATAGTGTGATTATTCCAGCGTCTAACAGGAAGTCTGCCCACTCTTCTCTCTAATCCTTCTATGTGCTGGGGGGAGATAAGAGAATTGGAAGTGAGTGATGGCCTTTTAAAATGACCAGATGAGGGCAGTGTTATATAAAACGTGCAGATTGAGTCTCAAGCCAGACACCAGCGTCTCAGATGCTCTCTGATGCTAATTAGCAATGAATAGAGATGGAGTCAGTCAACAGGGACCCAGCTCTCCTCCACTTAGTGTTCAGACACTAACTGAATGTCAAATTATTATCGAAATGCACTGGTTAGAGGGATACACCTTTACTGTGATGTTGTTTTAATATCCTCAGATGTAGAACAAAAAGACTGTAGTAGATCCTGCTGAGCATGTTTTTATAATTCCTGTTTAAATATGTTTATCTTAAGCCACAAATATGTTTTGGAGAAATGTAATGGCTCTAGTTTGCATTGCTTTTTATATTTAATATTATGACCCTGACATGCATGTTTATCAAGGTGGTGGATAAGACTCATGCCTTTGGTGTGTGAGATGCAGATTTACCCCACTGCGACGCATCCACCAATGCGTCTCTGAGGAAGACAGTAAACCCCTAGCTGCTCCAGAGGCGTGTGACCTCCGACTTAAATTGCAATTGTAAGTCGCTTTGGATGAAAGCGTCAGCTAAATGAATAAATGTAATGTTTGTGCCGCACAGTCCTACATAGTGTTAGACATCCATTACTTCTGCAGTCTAGATTGAGCTACAAATAAAAAATAACCTTGCTTGTAAACTTTTTTAGTACATATATAATCTCCCATTTTTACTGTTTGCTATTTAACAGCCAATGAGCTCTAGCAGCGTAGCCTAATTTATGTTTCTCTCTCTCTCTCTCTGTCTTGTGGTCAGGGGTGTGCCATATATTGGTATCATTTTTTAAGTGATGACACCATACTAGGGGATTCACCAAATCCACAGTTCAGTTCAGACCTCGTTTTTTTTTTGGGGGGGCATTATTATTATTATTATTATTATTATAATAATATTCCATCTTAGGTTAAAGTAGTCGAAGTTACAGGCATGATCGCTCAATCATGACTGGACCTAAATAGTCATGTGACACATGCAGTTGGAAGACAGTAAAATTGGTCAAAGGTGTAATATTTACAAAATATTGGCCTGCAGCTTGCACTAATTTTAGATTTTGAGCTAGAGTCAGAGTCAAGTCTGAAGTCACCTTGTGTGTGACTTAAGTCGGACTCCAGTCCCGAGTCCCAAACTCGAGTCCCCATCTCTGCTTTACAGAGAGTGATGTTATCCGGTATTACGTTAAGCGGACACAGTGGAAATATTACATTACAGAGCGACAGTGATATTAACGCACCGCTGCACGTCACTCAAATTAGTTTTGGTTTGGATCCACAAGCGCGCACTTGAAAATGAATTCATGGGTGAGTTTATTAAACATGGCCGCCGCCACACGTCTTAATGAGAGCTGAACGGTCAGGGGAGCCGGTGTGTTGCAGTTCTGTCTGTCGGAACCGAGACCGTGGACTTTTGTGTCACGGTTTCGGTTTCAGAACCGTTACAGCCCTACGTCATACCGTCACACACTGAAACAACATGCAGGACTGAAAGCAAAAGTAACATACCGAGTTCCAAAGACGTAAGGATTCATTAGTATGGCACAGGATTGGTTACATAGATCATGGCTGGTATTTATCAAGCTTCTCAAAGTACCATTTTAGTCTAAAGTGCTGAGAATTCATGAAATTTACTCCTACTTTCAAACTGAAGTATAAAAGCAAGTTATCAAATTTCTCAAAGCTAAGAATCACTCTTACACTCCCAGTTATTTAAGACCGCTCCAGAGGTCTCTCAAGTGGTTAGGAGCTGCCAGTAGAGCTTGTGTTGGCACTGTGGAGACAGGCGTGTGCGAATATTTCAGGAGAGGAATAATGCGTCTGAATTATTTGACAACGCGCACTTAATTAGACGGGTTCAGACAGAGCAGGCATTATTTGTCAGTAAGTTGGTGAGGGACGTCATCTCAGTTTCAGTTAAACTGAAGGTGGAGATGATGCTTCGTTTCTTTGCCACAGGACAAACGCAGCAATGCTGATGATTTTGGCCGTCACAACCATCAATAAGCCGAATAGTCATGGAAACAATTACGGCGCTTACAGCTTCACTCATTGTCACGCGTTTCATCGACTTCCCAACAACACTCCCTGCAATCCGACAGAAGCACAACACAATTCATGCAAATAGCCGGCTTCACAGGAGCAGTAGGTGCAATTGATGGCCCTCATATAAAGATGAACTTTTTAATTTCCAATGTGTATATCATAATGTATTCTCTTGAAAAAATTTTATTGTCAAATGTGTGTTGAACGTAAACTCCTCTTAGGAATTTCACCATTCAATGTGAATTTATTTGAGAATGTTCTTCAATAAGGAAATCTATTCAGTGATTGGTCCTTGCCTAGAAAGTCATCCAAAATTGCGGCACAGCAAAGTGTCGTGAATCAGTTATCATTCATTCACTTAAATGAGGTCTCAGATGCTTGATAACTAACTTTTAAGACCAGCTTTGAGCCGAGATTTTTTTATTCTTAAATCAGTTCTTAGCAGTGTTCTTGTGAGTAAGTCTGAGAAGCTTGATAAATACGGGCCCTGATAAAACAATAAACCACTGTAATATGTAAGAAGTGCAAGGAGACTGTCACAAAAAAAGGAGGCTACACAACAAACTTATTTTACCACCTCAAGCAGCAGCACCCAGTGGAGTACGAGGAGAGCTCAAAAACTATGTTGTTTACTGTCAAACCCATGTCCTTTGAGGTAACATACATGTTGCTTCTAAATGACCTGATTGATCACTTAATTGATCACAAAAGTACACTGCTCAAAAGAATAAAGGGAACACTTAACACAATGTAACTCCAAGTCAATCACACTCCTGTGAAATCAAACTGTCCACTTACGAAGCAACACTGATTGATAATCAATTTCACATGCTGTTGTGCAAATGGAAAAAACAACAGGTGCAAATTATAGGCAATTAGCAAGACGCCCCCAATAAAGGAGTGGTTCTGCAGGTGGTGACCACAGACCACTTCTCAGTTCCTGTGCTTCCTGGCTGATGTTTTGGTCACTTTTGAATGCTGGCGGTGCTTTCACTCTAGTGGTAGCATGAGACGGAGTCTACAACCCACACAAGTGGCTCAGGTAGTGCAGCTCATCCAGGATGGCACATCAATGCGAGCTGTGGCAAGAAGGTTTGCTGTGTCCGTCAGCGTACTGTCCAGAGCATGGAGGTGCTACCAGGAGACAGGCCAGTACATCAGGAGACGTGGAGGAGGCCGTAGGAGGGCAACAACCCGGCAGCAGGACCGCTACCCCCGCCTTTGTGCAAGTAGGAGCAGGAGGAGCACTGCCAGAGCCCTGCAAAATGACCTCCAGCAGGCCACAAATGTGCATGTGTCTGCTCAAACGGTCAGAAACAGACTCCATGAGGGTGGTACGAGGGCCCGACGTCCACAGGTGGGGGTTGTGCTTACAGCCCAACACCTTGCAGGACGATTGGCATTTGCCAGAGAACACCGAGATTGGCAAATTCGCCAATCTTGGTCTTCTAGCTCTTCACAGATGAAAGCAGCTTCACAATGAGCACATGTGACAGACGTGACAGAGTCTGGAGACGCCGTGGAGAACGTTCTGCTGCCTGCAACATCCTCCAGCATGACCGGTTTGGCGGTGGGTCAGTAATGGTGTGGGGTGGCATTTCTCTGGGGGGCCGCACAGCCCTCCATGTGCTCGCCAGAGGTACCGAGATGAGATCCTCAGACCCGTTGTGAGACCGTATGCTGGTGCGGTTGGCCCTGGGTTCCTCCTAATGCAAGACAATGCTAGACCTCATGTGGCTGGAGTGTGTCAGCAGTTCCTGCAAGAGGAAGGCATTGATGCTATGGACCCCCAGACCTGAATCCAATTGAGCACATCTGGGACATCATGTCTCGCATCCATCCACCAACTCCTGGACAGTCTGTGGTGCAACGTGGCGTTGGTGCTTTAGTCCAGGTCTGGGAGGAGATCCCTCAGGAGACCATCCGTCACCTCATCAGGAGCCCAGGCATTGTAGGGAGGTCATACAGGCACGTGGAGGCCACACACACTACTGAGCCTCATTTTGACTTGTTTTAAGGACATGACATCAAAGCTGGATCGGCCTGTAGTGTGGTTTTCCACTTTGATTTTGAGTGCGACTCCAAATCCAGACCTCCATGGGTTGATAAATTTGATTTCCATTGATAATTTTTGTGTGATTTTGTTGTCAGCACATTGAACTATGTAAAGAAAGGAGTATTTAATGAGATAATTTCATTCATTCAGATCTAGGATGTGTTATTTTAGTGTTCCCTTTATTTTTTTGAGCAGTGTATAATCTTATCTTCAGCAGCTGAACAAAACCCTGCTGCCCCCCCCCCCCCCCCAATCATGAACATCATCATTTTATCTGTGTTCATTTACAGTGTCAGTGACAACAACAAGGCTGAAGATAAATAGATAACATTATCACCTGCTATGTGCATACAGTAAAAAATAATTTTTTAATAATTTTTGCACAGATCGAAGAGGGATGCGATTTAATGTCCTATATGTGATTGTACCATGCAACAATTTCAATGAATATATGGGCATGTGAGTATTGTTTTAAACCTGTCCATTTAAGGGTTAAAACTTGTTCAGGATTCAGGATCCTTCAAGGTCCATTTAGTATAGAGTGCTGAGTGTATTTCTGAGCATGTATGGACTTCTCTGGCTGAAAGCTTAGTTTCACAGTTCATTCTTGAGCCCGGAAACAGCAGTTGATAAAACAGTTTTGCCTCAGGGGTCCATTAAGTAACTGTTTTGGAGCTTTTCGATTCATAACACATGAATGAACTTTGTGTAGTGTCTTGGTAGCTAAATGATTACAGCACATGATCAGAACAAACACCGGTTTG